TAATCATCTAATTGTACTCACGTAATTGTGGTTGCAGGGGTCGAGACTCAGCTCCTAGCCCCGCCTCTTCACCGACCGCTATTAGGTCCTCTCTCCCCCTGCTCCATGAGCTTTATCATACCTTGTCTTAAAAATATGTATAGTTCCTGACTCCACTACATCTCTGGGTGGGTGGGTGTGTGCACTCACCTGATTGTGGTTGCTGCAGTCGAGTCATAGCTCATGGCGCCCCGCCTCTTCACTGGTCGCTACTAGGTCACCCCTCACTGTTCCATGAGCATTATCATAACTCTTCGTAAAGCTACGTATGGTTTTTGCCTCTAGTACATTACTTTCCCGACTCTTCCACTTCCTAACATCCCTGTGACTCATCTGAGTCTTCAACTCCCATCTCTGAAACTTTTCGTCTCTGTCCACACTGTCAATTCCTCTCAATATTTTATATGTTGCAATCATGTCCCCCCCCTCCTAAATCCTTCATCTCCTCCAGCATAGTCAGGTCGATTTGCCTTAACCTCTCCTCGTAAGACATGCTCCTTCGCAGAGAGACTAGTCTTGTTGTGAACCTTTTCACTTTCTCTAATTTCTTTATGTGCTTGAACAGGTCTGTCTCCACTGAAAAGACTTTCTTAAACCTCATGTTAAGTTCTTCGCATACTTCTTGGTTGTTTCTTGTGGACTTCCCTCATTCCTCCCTCATTACCTGGTCCTTGACCAATGTTTTCCTCCTGATGTGGCTGTACAAGAGTTTCTGTTCAGAGTTGGCTTTCAATGATATATCATTTTCACATTACCGCTGAGTCTTTTTCCTTATCTCTGAATATTTGTTTCTGGCTCGTCGACTAATCTGTATTTTCCTACGTCATTTGTCGTCAATTATTTTTCCATTTTCTAGCACACTTAGTTTTGGCTTCTCTACATCTTTGGGTGAACCAAAGACTCAATCTGGTGTTCCCATTATTTCTGTTGCCCTTGGAAATGAACCTCTCCTCTGCCACCTTGCATTTTGTTGTCATTTAGTCCATCATTTCATTTACTGATTTTTCCCAACAGTTCTCTTTCCCACTGAACCTCATGCAGGAAATTTCTCATTTCAGTGTAGACCCCCCACTTTCGTAGTCTGGCTTTTTCCATCCTACTCCTCCTGTATCCCTCTCCACCTATAACTACACTATGTATTCAATGCTCAAAACCACATGATCACTAGCTCCAAGGGGCCTTTTATATGTAATGTCCTCAGTGTCTGGACTACTCAACGGGAATATGCTGGCTCATCCTCGTCTCTCTCTGGTAGTGTCCCTAACATGATGTTTTTCAGTATCACCTTCATCATCTTAGCTTCCCATGTTTCAGGTCCCCTGTGTGGCCCTACCCATGTGGGTCCTTCTGGCCACCTCAGCTAGTGTGTCCACCATTCCTCTGTGTCTCTTATCGTTTTCTCTTCACCTCCTGCTATTATGTTGTGCGTTGTATATCGCTATAATCACCACCTTGGACCCCCAATCTGAATTGTTCCTATTATGTAGTCCCTTGCTTCCATTCTCTCCATTCCTTCCATTTCCTCAAATCTCCACTTACCTTTTTTGATGAGCAGGGCAACTCTTCCTTTCCCTGTGCTCCCTCAATCTTTGCTCAGGACCTGATATCTGGATGATAAGATTGCATTTGTTATCAACCCAATAATTTTCATTTCAGTGTTTGCTATAATGTCTGGGGATGTCTCCATGATTCTTTCATGCGAATCCTCATATTTATTTGTTATTCCATCTGTGTTGGTGTACCATACCTTCAGCTTCTTTTCTAATACTGTGGTCTGGAGGGGGAGTTGTTGGGACTAGGGGGAGCAGGAGACCTAGCAAGACACTATGGGTGCTGCTGCAGAGGTGGAGTTTGTGATGAGGGTGGTGGGGTCTATGGGTATGGAGTGTGGGTTGTTTTGGGTTTGGTTGCTTTGGGGTTGTCAAGGTTGAGGGTCTTCCATAAGTGGTTCTGTGGGAGTTTATGTTTCCTCTTCCTCCTGAGTCTGGTTTCCATCCTTGACTCTTCTCCAGCTCCTTGAGTCTATGTGTCCGTCCTCACAGTTTCTGTCTTCTTATACAAGTTCCCTGCCACAGTGTCGAAGGAACACCCACTGTTAAAATGGCAAGACCCTTAGTCATGCTTTCTTCCTGCAGGATCCGGGCTTTTCAAACCGTTTCATTGAAAACCAATTTGACTTACGATTTCCTCTCTTGAGAAACCCTATCCTTCGTAAAATTTGTCAACTCCTATCGCTTGGTCGTGATATTATTTTCAACTCCCTTTTTCAACCCCCTATCGTCTTTTATAAGTTGCCCCCTATCGGCCTCCTGAAGCCTGTTAAACAAAGAATAACTCTCCCTTACAATCCTTCCATTGCATTTCCCTATATCACATTAATATCTGATGAATTATCTCCATTGCCACATTTCTTTACTATTTCACCTGGATCACTTGATGGTCAGAATAAAACCTCCTGTAGAGGACCTGCCTCCGGGGGGGGGGGGGGGGGGGGGGCGGGGGGGGGGGGGGGGGGGGGGTGGGGGGGGGGGGGGGGGGGGGGGGGTGGGGGGGTTCGCTTTCTTTCAGTCCTTCTTTTTCTGTCTGCTGTCCCTGTACCCAGGGCATGCCACTTTCATATCCCTTACCTTTTCCTGGCTCCCTGTAGCCTGATAGGGTCAGTGCATATGATTTATCTCCTTCGTTATCTTTGGTTCCCTCGTTTGTTTCTGATGTTCCAGTTCCTGAAGTCATGCCCTTTCTGCTTTTCAGTTTCATTAGTCTATTTCAGCATTTTCAGTTCCTCCTCTCTAAGCTCCGTATTCTAGTTCTTGTTTCCTGCAGTCATTCTGTCCCTCCATTTTAATGCTAAGCCTTTCCTTAGCCCTCTATTTCCGCACTTTTGTTCCCTTTTCATGATCTCTGCTACCCAGAGTCTTCTCCTCCCAAGCTCTTTCTCCAATCCTAGACTTACCTTCCTGCTCTCTGGGGTTCCCATTTTTTTCACTAGCTTACCACAAAATGTAATGCTATATGTTAATTTGATGTGTGTGTGTGGTGGTGTGTGTGTGTGTGTGTGTGTGTGTGTGTTGTGTGTGTGTGTGTTGTGTGTGCGTTGTATGTTGTGTGTGCTCATCTAATGTGTTGGCAGGGGTTCAAGTCACAGCTCTTGTCCTGCTTCTTCGCTGCTCACTACGATGGTCCATTTCCTGATCATGATCTTAATCCTATCCTCTTCTTAAGCTATGTATATATTCAACTTACACTACATCACTCTCCAGAGAGTTCTACATCCAGATAACCCCTACCCCCGTCCCGGATTGAACCCGAACCCTCGGTCATAGAGTCTCAAAACGTGCCAGCCCGTCGCGTTAGCCACTAGACCCAGCAATCCACAATAAGATTCATTCCAACTAGGTATATTTCTACACCATAGGAAAGTTAGCACAGGCACCTCTGATGAACCACAAATGCAAGTTATTTACAGACGAATCTCCAGCTAGCGTGGCCGTGACCGAACTCAGCTCAAGTCCATCACTGCCGTCAACATGACTTAAGAAATCGTATTTACACGATTGCAAATAAAAACCATACTCCGGCCGGATTGAACGCCGCGGTCATAGAGCTCACAAAACTACAGCCCGTCGTGTTAGCCACTAGACCCACCTCTGGGTCACAGAGTGCCTGTGCTAACCTCCTATGGTGTATAATATACCTAGTTGGATGACATCATATTGGTGGCAAGCTGACAGTGGCTAAACGCGACGGCTGGAGTTTTTGAGACTCTAATGACCCGAGGTTCAATCCCGGCCGGGGGTATGGTTTATTTGCAATCGTGTCATTACGAAGGGACTTGAGCTAGAGTTCGTCACGGCCACGCTAGCTGGAGATTCGTCTGTAAAAACTTGCATTTGTGGTCACAGAGGTGCCTGTGCTAACCTTCTTATGGTGTAGAAATATACCTAGTTGGATGAATCTTATTGTGGCTAGCTGGTCTAGTGGCTAACGCGACGGGCTGGAGTTTTGAGACTCTATGACCGCGGGTTCAATCCCGGCCGGGGGTATTGTTTATTTGCAATCGTGTCATTACGATTTCTAAAGTCTTCCTGATAACTCTATGACTAAAGAAATACTTTCTAACATGTCTGTCACTCATCAGAGTTTTCAACTTCCTGTTGTGTCCCCTTGTTCCTGTGTCCTATCTCTGAAACTTTCTGTACCTGTCCACCTTATCAATACCTCAGTATTTTGTATGTTCTTATTATGTCTCCCCATTTATCCTGTCCTTAGTGTCATCAGGCTGAGTTCCCGCAACCTCTCCTTGTAGGATCCTGGACTAATGTTGTTATAAACCATTACACCTTACTGGTGCTGCGTCTCTAATGTGGGCCTGACATACACGGTGTACAGAGTCTTGAACGATTCCTTACTTAGGAGTCATCACGCTATTCTTAGGTTTGCCAGGGGGCCCATATACTACAACAGTTATTTGTTTGATGTATGCCTCAGATGTGTTCGCTATTATACTCACCCCAAGATCCCTTTCCTCGTCGTAAGCTTCTCTCTTTTATGTGCGGGTTATTTGTGTATCGTTCCAGTTACGGTATTGTGTCTTTTTTAGTTATTCAGTCTTCGGCCCCCTAGCATGTATTCTGCATTTTTTTTACCTTTCGTAATCGTCATGACTCTGCACTTGGCTTGGTTAAACTCCAGCAACCAATTGATTGACCAAGCAGCCTCTGTGTGTGTGTTTGTTGTACCGAATAATCTGAACCGGTGAGTTTGGCTTAAGAAGAAAAGTCATTTACTCTGAATAAGTGTAAATGAGTCTGAACAAAAGATACAAAATATTGATTATTGATTTTAAGTATTATTGAATGATTAGGATGAGATTATTTTATTATCACAGAATGTTTTAGTTAAAACTTGGTATGAAGAGTAACTATGCTATCATACTTCTACTTAAATGCCTCACAGCCATGTGGTCTTGGTTGCCAGTTCCACCACCTCATCCATTGCTTCATGGCAGCCTATGAGACACATCGAACTCTCGTTCTCAACTCTACTGGCTGGCGATACTCCCCCAAGGGCTGGGAAACTGTCTTCCAGCCTCTCAGTGAAACATGCACCAACTACTCTAAAGCAAATATAACATACTGGCCTGGTAAGATGTGTGAATAAATATTTAGTTCATCTTTCATTATCTTACATCAGTAGTGACGTTCTTATATCATAAAATAAGGTAGGTTTATATACACTATATTTATATACACTAGACTTCACATATTCGCAGGCAAGAATGATTCACCAACGATACGCTTTCCTCCGTCTTACATCATGAATCCCTCTCCAAACATGTTGCCATTAGCCATCCCGAGAGACATCTCTAAACGACTTTTACGCTTGCATGGTAATCCAGGCGTCTGGTGGATGGGTCAGTTTATCAAGTATTTTTTCAAATTTCAGCCGAACATGCAAGAAACTATCAGCAAAACAGAAAAATCCATTCAGTTTGAACATCCCATTGTGGGGTAAGTATCCCAACCAAATTTTTGATGAGATTTTTTTTTTAATTGGACATCAACATTAAATTGTTTCTTTAGTTATATAAATGATACTGCGATTTTTTTCCTTATGGACAAGAAATGAGCAAATAGTGAAGTTAGTTCCTTTGTTTCATTAAGTGCCTTATTGTAAGATTTTATTGTTATCTGCAGTGTACATGTCAGACGAACCGATAAACGTACCGAGACAAGTTACCATAATGTGGAAGAATACATGGAACAGGTTTGAGGAATACTTTGCCGGACTCCAGCTCTTGGACCCAAATGTTACACGACGGATCTACCTATCTTCTGACGAGCCCAAAGTCTACGAAGAAATGGAGAAAAAGTACCAGATTAAGGATTTTGACATTATATTAAGTTTTGTGGATGTTATATATACGAAACAATATATACAAAATTTGCACTTCAGTTTTCGCGAACCTAACTTTGAATTAAATTCATTATAGAAGTAAATTCTTAGGGATTTAGGTATAATAAGTTAGAGAAGGATGGATCTTGATATACTTTAAATTAATTTTGATCCAGTGGAAGAATATAGTCTTTTAAATTTAATACGAATATTTATAGTTAAGAGTGATGGGAAACAATTTTTATAGCTTTCTCGATATCTTATTTTTTTTTTTTAAATCATAGTCCTGGGGAGCCATCTTTCGTAAGTTTTGTCATATTTCCATTCGTTCCTAAATTTCTCGTTCATACATAAAAAGGGCATATTATTAAATAAGAATGACGTCAGCAAAATATATTTCAAACATACTCTCACGATCTAAGGAACCAAATATTACATTATTCCACAGGTACCCTCATTACAAGATCCTTTATCACAGGAAGCATGTACAAGTGGACCAGGATATAACACGGTTCACTGTGACCTCGCTTAGAGATCTCGTAGTTGATATCTACTTCTTGGCTCGTACAGACTACATCGTTGTCACATTCACGTCAAACGTGAGTACTGTTCTGACCATTGTAATAATTATTCCGAGAAGTACTTAGATCGAAATTTAAAAAAATTATGATTGTTCAAAGTTCAAAAAAATGCATTACGTATTGTTAAGTTTAAACACTAATGTTTATTTGTGAAAATTATGATACAAGAAGAGGAAATAGAAACGTGTATAATCACTAAAGACATTTTTTGTTTTAGATCCATTTCGGTCTTGAGACCTTGTTTACAAAATCTCTGGACCGAAACTCTTCCTGATAATTGTTTTTAGGTGTTTGCACATATGTTTATCTCAATGTTTAAATAAAATTTTATAGAATATTAATTAACTGATTATGCTATAAGACCGACGATATGTCAGACTCTTTTCCTACTGGTTTATTAAAGACAAAATTACTGAACATTACGACCTTTCCTCTCATAGCTAAGGTCAGTACTCGACATTAGTTGCAGTGAAAAAGGTCTTCAGTAAAGGTCAAAATATAGTTACAAGTGATAAATTAGTGGGACTAAGAGTTGAAGAAAAACAATGTGGGTTAAGGAACGAGTAAGAGGAAAAAAAACAATTGTGGTTGTGCTGTGTAAATTCCAAAGGGAAGCTTTCACTTAATGTCGTAAATTATTGGTTTCCAAAGTTCTTACGATCACACGTTGACTCTGTAATTTCAGCCGTGTGCCCCTTTGTATAGAGGGGAAAAATAACTTTCTACAAATAGTGACGGAGATAGGGACATTGATATAACAACATACACCTATATTTTACTAGTACATAAGAGTGACAGATGTTGTTGATATAACAACATACTCCTATATTTTACTAGTATACAAGAGTGACAGATGTTGTTGATATAAACAACAAGTACATCCATATTTATTTACTAGTATACAAGAGTGACAGATGTTGTTGATATAACAACATACTCCTATATTTTGCTAGTACATAAGAGTGATAGATGTTGTTGATATAACAACATACTCCTATATTTTACTAGTATATAATCGCTGTTCAACATTATTTTTCCAACAGGAAAAACAAATTTGAAAAACAAACTTTCCTAATTCATACATTAATTATTATTAAACTTTTAAAAAATATTATTAATATCGTTATATTTGGAAAGAAATATAATAATATCAACGTCAAAAACTTAATGACTACAAGAAATCGGGAGAATACCGGCGAATAAAAAAAAAAAAAAATTACACTGGGTTTAGAGCCAGGAAAACTTAGTGAGAAGAATGTATGTGTGCTTTTTGAAAGCCAGAACTTTAATTCTGGGTCCTCACAGTCACCCTGAGATCATTCTCCATAAATATTATAACACGATCGTTGGTCTTAGCAATGCACAAAACACAGAATTAATGCTAGCATTGATATGTTGAGGGAAACAGTAGAACTTTATATGGTAATTTTGACAACTAAAGTAAGATTGAATAATCTGTGACCAGAATTTAGTCGGATGGACAGTTGATATGTCTGTATTAACTATTTATACTTTGAATATAGTTGTGTAAACAACTTGTCGGTTCCTTGTAGAACCGACAAGTTGATAAATTAGACACATGTGTAACACTTGGGTATCGTTATTGAGGAAACGTTTCTCCACACAGTGGCTTCATCAGTCCATATAAAGGAAAATGGTGAAGAACAGGAGTAGTTTGAGGTAATCAGTCCCTCAGGCAAGGCTCAATGTAATCAGTCCATCAATCTTGAAAAGAATACAGCATATGCACGAAGAAGCTGCTATAATTTATCAACTTGTCGGTTCTCTGAACCATTTATCTACATTCCTGTTAGACACAGAATTACAACCCTGGAATGCAAAGGCCTGTTATCCTGGGTGTAAAGGGGGCAAAATAAACGCAGCAGAAAAACTTTTGACTTACATTATCCTTCACCAAGTATGTACACTATATACACTATGTACAACAATAGGTATTAGTGCACTCCACTGTAAATAAGGCAGAATAGAAGCCACTAGAGAGCAGACCGTGCTTCAACCAGCTCTAGAATGGGAATGACAAGGGCAGACAGGTGTGTGGTACCCACAACACCTCTGCGATTGCCAAAACCATCTTCTCATTGACTTGAACCTGGGTACTGATCAAACGACGGGGCCCCATCGTCCGACCCTAGTATTGGTTTGCTGGTTGGGGGAGATAGCCTTTCAATGAAGGTGTGTACATGCGCTGAATAAAAGTTATGTACTCTTTGCATGCCACACACAGCAACATCTTGGGATCTTAATACAAGGAATTCTTCACTTGCCTATCCTTTAGGCATGACCTACTTCCACATTTGGATTAATCAGATGTGATACCACCTACGACTGCTTCACTTCACCTGTCTACAGTATATAAGCAACTTCTTCGTGCAAAGCAAATGCTGTATTCCTTTCAAGATTGATGGACTGATTACATCGACTCCAGGATGAGGGACTGATTACCTCAAGCTCCTGTTCTTCACCATACTCCTTTGTATGGACTGATGAAGCCACTGTGTGACGAAACGATTCCTCAGTATAAATGCCCAACTGTTACATATGTGTCTAATTTATCAATAAAATTCGTCTTCCATTAAATTTTATGTTAGTCAATAAAATGTTGATAAATAAATATAATTAAAATATTGATTTTGAAACCAAAAACTAATTATTATATGTGAAAATTAATTTGCAAAACCCATATGGGCTTCCCTGTTTTAATGTATAGTCACCAAGTGAACACATCATGTGATATCATCCCTGTCAACCCCGTAAGCCTGCAGGAGGCGTCGGTCATATGACCAAATGCTACACTTGGCTAGTGATTATATCACTAAAAGCCCTGTCAGGAAGCCTTTATATTGTTTGTGAATAGCATATCACCACTGGTACTCAAAACATGAGGAAAGACGGTAATACTATGTTGTACTATAAATCTCCCAGCAACCATAGAACCGATGGTAAAAAATTTTGGCTAGATGTTCTATCTTGTCAAATAAATACTTATCTACTTAAAGGAGACTTTCTTTTAGCTGTTCCAAATTCCTCCCTGAGCACTCGACTGCGACCCCATCCTCACCGAACATAGGTGTATTTGCTGCAGGGCGACAGCTGATCAATTCGGACTTCATGGTCTGGTGTGTCATACATCAGAAGAGGAGTATGCTAGACATGAGGAGGTTAATGACATTATAAAGAGAAGTCTCGTCACAGCCCGTTGCCCAGCTCAACGGGAACCCCAAATACAGAGGTCTGATGGAAGTCAAAAGCGCCCTGATGGAGTCACTATGCTACCCCTAGAGGGATGGTAAGCAGATTGCATGGGACTAAACCTGTGCCGCCACTTTGGTAGACACCTACTTGCCATACTCTGAAGCTGAAGGGGGGTGGAGCTGCCAGCTACAGGGAGACCCAGAAGAACCGCAGATATGAAAGCGTTCCCCCTTGCTATAACTTCGTCCTAATAAGGTCAGAGACCCTTGGAGCATGGGGCAAGTGTGCTCTAAAGTTCATCAAAGAGCAGGGACAAAAGCTCGTCTCAGAAACTAAGGATCACAGAGCGGCCAGCTTCCTCTATCAGAGACTCTGTGTTGTGATCCAGAGGGTAAATGCCTGCATTATTCTGGGCACGCGGCCCACCGGTGGGGAGCTGGACGAAACATTCTAGATGTACGCTCTGAGATGTTATTTATGTTGTTCTATTCCCCATTGTATTTTTGTCAATGTATTTTGCCTTTAAATAAAGTTCACAGAGAATATAGAATATAGGGGGTGGTAGGAGAAGAAAATATTCAAACATCTCCGTGGAGAACCTCGAGTTTTCCCAGAAGTAAGTTTTATTCTTTTCTCTGAGGATGAGGGTCCCCAGTCCAGTTCCAGAGGTGGTGCACCATATATATACATATATATATATATATATATATATATATATATATATATATATTATATATATATATATATATATATATATATATATATATATATATTATTGTGACCACGAACGAGTGGTATTGATCAACAACAACACTGCACTAGCCAAGGACTCGAACCCATGCTGCTATCGTTTACATGATTTGCGACACTTTCTGGAGAAAAAAATCGAAAAATTTTGGAAAAAAAAATGTTATCTTACCGAAAAATAGTGCCTAATTCTAGCATCAATTTGATGCAATCAGCTTGCTTCTATCATATAACTAACCATCTTATTCTAAAAATGTATTTTTTTTAATCCTGCTGTCATCAAGGGGACATGATGACAATACGTTTTTTTTTTCTGCAAAAATTACGGTTTTTATGATTGTTTCTTTCCAAATATACTAGTTGGCTTATTCTCTGTGGAGCTCCTATCAGTCCATGGAGAAAAACACACGTCAGTAGCCTGTGGGCTGCCGGGATATTTGGTTGTGTGTGAATGACACATGTGCAACTCTTGGGTATCTTTATTGAGGAAACGTTTCGCCACACAGTGGCTTCATCAGTCCATACAAAGGAGAATCTTGAAGAACAGGAGGAGAATGAGGTAATCAGTCCCTCAACCTTGAGTCGATGTGGTCAGTCCATCAATCTTGAATAGAATACGGCATACGTGCTGAGAAGGAGCTTATAAACCCAAGAGTTGCACATGTGTCTAATTTATCAACATGTCGGTTCTCTGAACCATTCATCTACAAACCTGTCAGACACTGCAACTTCTTGGGATCTTAATACTTGGGAATTCTTCGCTTGCCTAATTCTTGGGCACGACCTACTTCAACATTGAACAAATGTTACACGACCTATGACTGCTGCACCTCTCCTGCCAACGGTTTAATAAGCTCCTTCTCAGCACGTATGCCGTATTCTATTCAAGATTGATGGACTGACCACATCGACTCAAGGTTGAGGGACTGATTACCTCATTCTCCTCCTGTTCTTCAAGATTCTCCTTTGTATGGACTGATGAAGCCACTGTGTGGCGAAACGTTTCCTCAATAAAGATACCCAAGAGTTGCACATGTGTCTAATTTATCAAC